TTCAGGAGGCAAACTTAGGAAAAGTAGCCAAGTCTTGTACTGCTCAGATCAAGGGAAGTATTTTTAAAAAATAAATCAAAACTATTTTGCCCACATTTGTCCAGAATACGGTTTTAGGGTTAGATTAAAAAAAAAAAAAAAAAAGCCATTTTTGTTAACACTACTGTTCAAAAGTTTGGGGTCGGTAAGCGTTTTAAATAGCTTCTGCTCACCAAGTCTGTATTTATTTGATAAAAAAATACAGTAAAAACAGTAATAGGTGAAATATTATTATACATTTAAAATGACTGTTTTCTATTTTAAGTTAGTTTTTAAATGTAATTAATTCCTGTGATCAAAGCTGAATTTTCAGCATCATTCATAAATTCAGAAATCTTTCTAAAATGATGATTTGATGCTCAAGAAACATTTCTGATTATTATCATCAGTTTGGAAAACACTTTTTTTGTGTGTGGAAACGATTCTTTGATGAATAGAATGTATTTATTTGGAATAGAAATATTTTTTAACATTATACCGGATGCCTATACTGTCACCTTTGATAAAATTTTCATGCGAATAAAAGTATTTATTCCTTTCTTTAAAAAATAAAATAAAATCTTACTGACCACAATTTTTTTGAACGGTTGCATACCTGAGATATTCACCACCACCCAAGTTAGCACAATTTGGGGCATGTTTAATAAGTTTAAAATCATGATTTGTGCAATTAATTTTCCTGCAGTAAACAATATTGTACAAGTGTTAGTTTGTAGACATTTGATGTGTTTAAAACTAGCTACTTTTCATTGTAGGTAAATATCATGTTAGATAATAGTTAATCAAACATACTAAAACCTTATAAAATTGTCTTGAATGTTCTTCGAGGTGGAGGTCGATGGACGGGGCAAATGTATGGACTTTTTGTATCTAATGGACAAAATAAGCTTGCACAATTTACATAAGAGCGCGCCCGGAGACGAGCGAAAAATATACATAGAGCATCAGCTTATGTTTCTGCTCTGACAGCCGCAAGACTCCACCGAACACTGTAATTGTGTTAGAAATCAGGAATGGTGAGAGAACATTGTGTGTTTTTCGTCTCCCAAACCCAAACTCGGGTCTTTCGCTGACACAGTTTAAATCCCGGTTGTCTAGCGCACTTCCCATAATGTTTACGCTTTAGGTCAGTAGGAGGAAAGTAGATGGTCTTTTGTGTGAGTTTGAACACATTGGACCACATGAGCGTTTACACTACGAAAGCAATGCGTTTTCAACTACCTCTGAAAGTGCTTGAAAGTGGACGAGCTCAAGACTTGTTAGACCCCGTTTACACATGTACCTGTTACACTCGATTAACCAAAACGCATCTTAATGGCAGGTGTCTGAGTGTTTGTGATTGACTGAGTTGCTGTTGTTTGCAGGTGTGTTTATGCCTGTGGGTTTGGTGCTGCAGCCCTGGATGGGCTCTGCTGCTATGGCTGCCTCATCAGTGTCCGTAGTGCTGTCCTCACTTCTACTAAAATGGTAAACCTCTCAGATATTAACATCAGACTGTAAACTAGTTTTATTTAATTTTCTAACTGGGTTGATGCGATTTTAAGGCAAGACACTACAGGCAAAAACTTTAGAGATTTTGTGCTATTTGGCTTTTTATAACTACTTGTTTTATACTAGCTTTATACAAAATACACTTAAGTATTTATTTATTTATTTATTTTTATGTGTGCATATAGTGTTCAATGACTCAACTTCGGTAGCCCTTGCACAAAACTTTACAGTTTTATTCCCATCTATATTCTGAATCCAAAAGGGTCTGCAAAGTTAGAAAAAAGTTTTTCTCTTTATCAGTGCGCACTGTTTCTGAACTCCCTGAAACGCCTCGATTGTGGTCTTGAGTTTTCTTCCAGGAACGAACACGTCACTCTATTCCTCATTTAAATAATTCGAGCTCAAGACACATGAAAAATAAAGAGAATATTGAGTTAGTAGTGTTAAAACTGGCAGTTATGGTTAGAGGAGTGACATTTTCTTAAATACACTTGAAGCGGCTGACCGATCACACCACACTGATCCAGCCGACCAATCAGAGCACACTATGCTATTTTGAAGGAGGGGCTTCATAGAGACAGAAACTAAAGAGAGCGTTTCTGACAGACAGGCAAGAGAGGTGCTGCAACAATGTGGAAAACAACGTTTTAAATATTCAAGCATGTAAAACAAAATCAAGACTTTGTAAAAAGTGTAACAAAAGGCCTCTTTAAGATAATAAGACACTAATTTCCTGTTTCTCCAGTTACACTAAACCCACTGCTGAGAAGCTGGAAAGACGACTGGGAGAGGTGAGAAAGCAAGGCAGCCTATCAGATGTCAGCGTTCACATCGGCATGGGAGAGCTGCGTCGGTCCTCGCCCAAACTCAGCCTGCTCGACCGCATCGTCAACTACAGCCGGGCCTCCGTCAACTCGCTCCGCTCCGACAAACACTCCATGAACAGCATGGCCCTCAGCGAGCCCGACAAGCACTCTCTGCTGGTGGGAGACGATCACTGCGAGGAGGAGATGGTTTGAGCGTCTCACTCTGGGGCCTTGCTGTACCTCAGTGCCTGTAGACGAGCAGGATCTGTGTCAAAGCCCAAATTCAATGGCCTCACGAGGGTCCCTCAAGAATATGAACACAATTGTGCTCTCACTGTGATGATTGTCCGGCCAGTTGCATCACTATTGTAGAGGCTTTCTGACGGCCTCTGTTTACATCGGGTTTGATGTTCTCGCTGGCAAATTTACGATGACAATCCATATAAGTAAAATCAACTACACCGCTGATTGGCTTCAAAAAGTTTAAAGTCCATTTTATTTTTGTGGAAATGACCATTTTAGAGTGATTTATTGTGTTTTATGGTAATGATTAATGGGATATTTATTACATCATTTATTTATAGTATTTTATGTACTTTTTGTCGGACATGAAGGAATGTGAAGATTTCTTTAAAAAGCGAACAAATGAATTCTACTTTTCTAAGGCCGTTTTGGCTGCACATAGTATCACAGACTGCGTTTCGAGATGCAGAACATTCCAAAGAAAACACAACCAGGAATTATGGGGCCACAAATTAGTAACCAAGAAAATGCTAAACCATTATAAGCCTCTGTAAGATGTTCAGCATATTCATTTTTAATGTTTAGCAAACTGTTTGTATCACTTCAGCTGCCTTTGCTATATTTAAATGTGCACTTGCTCATGTCAAATTTAGCTTATAAATGTATTGTTTTTTTTACTGGTTTCACTTTATTTTAAAACCCAGTGCTCCGTGTGAAACGAGACTGACATTTAACGAGCAGAGCACGTTTGTATGCAGCCGTAGCCCTTGATGGATACATACACATGAAACGTCTCTGCACAACCTGAATCAGGTTACTGAAATAGATTGCTGACTGTTTGAAATATTTGGAAAATTATCCAAAATATAGAAAAAGTTATCCAGTGGAAGTTTTGTTACTGTCTTATTTGAGGTCAATTTAAGTGATGCAGTGTTCAAACGAAACAAGTGCACTCATTAGTAAGTAATGATTAGTTGTTGCTTGTTTTGGCAAAATGTGTCCAAGTTGGAGTGACGGTGTAAACATCCTGAAATTTATGCTGTTGATTGTTGTCCTGGACAGTTCTTATTGTAGTTTTGCATCATATTCTTCAAATAAACAGCCACTTTTCAATTAGGTAGCATCCATCCAAGTCCCCTTTCCAGTGCGTGAGAAGATTGTTGATTTAGATACAGATGTGCACTTTCCCACGGAAGGTAAGCTTTTTGTCAACCAGATGGTAATTTTGTGTTCATTTTACTTGCATAAACGTTTATGTTTGAAAACAAATTATGATAAACTACTTGAAGCTCCTTTTTCATCAATAGTTTTCTACAAAGTTAAATGTTGACTTTCTTTTTCAAACCCTATTTTAGACTATTTGGTCTTTGAACTTTTGCTTTACAAACACATGAAGACAAAATTTGTACAACTGGTCTAGGTCTGAATAATGTATACTTGTTGAATTAAAAAACAAACATCATTTTTTTTAATTAGTGAAGATGGATGAGCTACAAAAATGTACTTGTTCACGTATCAGCATCTTTATTCTGATGAATGTAACAAAGAATTCAAGGACTGAAATTTGTCTAAAGAAACTGGAGAGAAGCTGCATGCCATTTCTGACTGATATGATTTTGACTGACTTTGATTTTGTATTTCTAAATTGCTCATGTTCACTTTAAAAAAAAATGACTTGTGTGAGCTCTGCTTCATACATCTACACATTTGAGGAGACCAAAACTAAATTTAAAGTGTCGCTAATGGTACTGCACCTTTAGATTTATTTTTTTTTTTTTTTACAAATATTTCAGAATAATATATTTATTTATTTTTTTTTTACAAAGGAAACAGACCACCAGTCATGTGCAGCTTTTCCCAAAAGCAATCGAAACAGAAGCAGCACTGTGTTACAGTAGTGGTTTGAATGAGAAAATCACACGGTAAGTCCGCCTCTCTCCAATCCTCAATATGAAAGTTTTTTCACAGCAGCATTCAGCTTTATTATGTCATTTGTCTTTAACATTTTTCTACTTTTTAAAAAAGAATAGTAAAAAATGATTGTTTTTTAAAAAGTGTTATTTTTACATTTTAAATGTGTTATGCTAACCTTTTCAACATACCTTTGGTTGGCCTGGCTGTTATGGAGATCAACCAACCAGCATTTTTTTTTGTAAAATTTTTGTAAAACCAGTGTCCCATCATGAAAATCAACCTCGAAATTTGTGCTGCTTTTGATTCCAGTATTTTACAAAGGTATTAATTGTGTTTTTTTTTTCTTTTACATTTTAAATTAGAAGCAATTTTATGTTGATTATGTAGAGGCCTTAAAATGAATAGGCTAGATAAATAAACAAACAGAATAAAACCTAATTTCTCGAATTTTATTTTCCAACCAATTTAGCATTAAACATAAACATAACATTTAGCACTAAAACCTACCTAAAATAGTACCAGAGCGATTAAAATTAACTAAACATAAGATGACCTACAAACAACGATATTCTCCCTCCCTGCGCATGCAAGACGCAGATGCGCGTGAACACTGCTACCCTCCGCCGTGCACGCGCCGCATCCTTCACTCATCGCGCGCTCGTGTGGTCTTGGAGAAGAGAAGGATAACCGGAAACAGCAGGTTGTTGTTGAAGAAACATCTCACATAATAATACTAAAAAAAATACAGGGGCAGGGAAATGGCTTTGACTCAAGATATGATCTTAAACTTTTTAATGGAGCACGGGGGAAAAGTGAAAAACTCGGAGCTTGTGAACAAGTTTAAAGGACTTATAAACTCCAGCGACCCCGCGGAAAAGAAACAAAACAGAGACCTTTTCAAACGACTGGTCAACAACGTCGCCGTGGTTAAACAAGTCGATGACGTAAAGTACGTGGCTGTGAAGAAAAAGTACCAAGGACTCACAGGTGAAAAAAATACACTGAATAACAGTTTATTTGAATTAATATCGCCATGTAGTAGTAGAAGTAAACCCGCGCTTGATTCCAGTGAAATAGTGAATGTGGATATTATTAATAACAATTACTGTCATTGCTCCATCCAAACTTTGAGTAATAGCCGGTCAAGTGGAAATGATGCTGAGATACCTGACTGTGATTCAATCGAGTCTTTGACAGCAAGAGTGCTCAGTGTGACAAGTGATGCTGGAAGTGGCCAAACAGGATCCGTTTTCGCTCTTGTGGCCATAAAATCTCCACCAAATCCACGATGTGAGTTGCAAAATGATGAAAGGGGAAAACCATGCCTCAAAACGCAAACATCTGATGCCAAACGACCATCTTCTACAGCTGAGAGAACCATGAAAGTCAAGGCAAATGCGTATCAGAGCTGTATTGTGGCTGGAGAAGGTTTTCCATACAGGTCTCTGAGAGTCAAACGAAAGGAGCTGGAGGCACAGGGTTTGCCACAACTGCGAGGGAGTAGCAAAATCACCAAACCGGGTGGTAATGAGGCTAAAGACTCAGATGGAATTCCTTTGGGGTCAGTGAAGCATCAGTGGCTTGTGAAATCAGCAACAGGAGGCTGGCGTCAGATCCACAGCCTCCTACTGCAAGACCCTCAGCTGGCAGAGAAGAGGAATTTCATGTCTGGATTCACAATCCTGCATTGGGCTGCTAAAAGCGGAAACGGTGAAATGGTGTGTAAAGTCATTGATCTTTCAAGACAGAGTGGTGCAGGGATCGATGTTAATGCCAAGTCTTATGACGGGTATACACCTCTCCACATTGCCGCCATTCACAGCCGTGAACGTGTGTGTTCACTGCTGGTGTGTGAATATGGTGCCAGCACTAGCATACGGGATAACAGTGGGAAGAAACCCTACCATTATCTAAGTCAAGATGTGTCTACTGAAATCAGAAAGATGCTCGGAGACCCTCGCTGTCTGCGGCAGGATGCTCGAAGCGATTTAAAGGAACATCAAAACCCGTCAGACCTCCATAAAGGATTCAACACTCTGAGTAAACTATTTCAACCCCACGTCGCCGGACATAAAGAGAAATCCAGACGTCGGCCGAGCTTTCATTTCGTTAGAGAGAAAGAACATTGCACTTAATTGTTTTTAACCTAATTGCACTTAGTTGTTACAATGGAAACACCTCACAAAAATTAGACTTGTGTAACTTTAGTGTGTTTAATACGTGTTGTTAATTTAATTGGTAATTATTATACAGTGGCAGCTGTGCACTCTACTGATAATTGTATTTGTTAATGAGGTTAGTAAGAAAATTACTAGATACTAACACAGCTGAAAGGGTGAAGAACATGTTCAGGTCTTTTTACCCCATATTTGAAAGACAATTTATTTTGATGGTTACTAATGTAGTAACTGTAAGACTAACGAATGTTACACATACATGTCAAGAAACTCTCATTAGAGTATTAGTAGACTGTCCGCTTATTAGTTAATATCTGCTTACTCTTTATTGTGATGCTCCTCCAACAAACATTCTACTGATTATAAGTAACTTTGCAAGTTCATATCAACTTACTTTAGCCCTAACCCCATTCTAGTAATCCTCAACTAATATAGCAGACATGTATGAGCAACGCTACTTATAGTCAACAGAATGTCTAAGGGGACCATTAAAATAAAGTGTAACCAAAAAATATATAGCCTAACTCAAAATATAATTTCATGATAAAAAATATATATAATTCCTCAAAAATTATCATTACTATTACTGACAAAAAACAAAAGCAAACCTTTAAAGTTAATTCAAAATGACTTTAGTGTGAACATGATTATTAAATTGTGAAGTAGGCCAATGTCATGGTACTAACTGTACTTCCCTTTATTAATGCTGAAAAGAAGGGAAAAAACTGTTATTATTACAATATTTTTAAATCTATTGTGAATTATTATTGACTATTACAATGTAAAAAGTAGAGCCCGACCGATAAAGGATTTTGAAGGCCGATACGATACAAATATTTGTTGGTCTTAAAATCCGATATTCCGATATATCGGCCGATATATATATATATATATATATATTTTTTTTTCAGAAACACGCAACAAAACATTAACAGATTTCCCTGATATTAGTTATTTGTAGTTATTTATGAGTTTTAACTAAAATAATATGATAATGCCTTTTTAAAATAAACTTGTTTCTTTTATTGTCACAACAGAACAGAATGATGACAGTGGCATTAGCTAGCTTTGTGGTTAGCTAGTCTATGATGAGCCATAATTTAGATTTAGATGGATAACGTCATACTGCAAATTGTAAAACATACATTTTCAATATAACAGGCCAATGAGAGATGATACGTCTCATTGCTATAACTGTCACGTGCTATTAAATAAATACTTCAGTCACATTGTCAAAAGTTAAAAGGACAGTCAGTCAACTACACTGTAACAACGTAACGTAATTATTAGCTAATTCTGCTTCACTCTTGACTTATTTAACAGCAGCAAAACTGGACACGATAGTTACAAATATCGGCCTGGCTCTAGTAAAAAGTGATCAGTTGACTTAAGAAAAAACTTTAAAAAGTGAGAACCCATTGCCTTAAATTATTACGTAAATAAACATAATGCGTAATTTAAAAAAAAATCACGTTCATATAACTTTATTTTTTCAATGATGTGAAGATTATTTACTTACACTTTAAAAAAAAGTAAGTAACCTGGTTGCCTTAAAATTTTAAGTTGATTGAACTGGAAAAAGCGAGTTAATACAATGAAGGAGAATGATTTAATCATCAGAAACTCAAAATTATATGTTATCTGAACTAAATCAATTATTTAAGTTGATTTGACAAAATAATAAATGTTGTGATTACTAATCATGAAAAGATTTTTTTTTTTTTTACAGTGTAATAATTTTAAGGTAACAAGTCAACCGATTTTAAAGCATTTTTAGTCAACTGATCACTTTTTACAGTGCAAAAAACTCATAAAATGTCTTTGTGATGCAAATTTTGGAGAAAAAATGCTTAATTGTCTAATAATGTCACCGTGTGACTTGTTAGAGCATTTAAAAATATTTTCAAGATTTGTTATCACAACATATTTTCTTTTGTCAAATCAACTTTACAATAATTTATTTAGTTGAGATAACTTATTATTTTGAGTTTCTGATGATTTAAATTAATCTCCTTCATTGTATTAACTCACTTTTTCCAGTTCAATCAACTTAAAATTTTAAGGCAACCCAGGTTACTAACTTTTTTAAGCTAAACCAACAATGTTTTTTACAGTGTAGTAATCACAACATTTTTTTCTTTTGTCAAATCAACTTAAATAATTTATTTAGTTCAGATAACATATAATTTTGAGTTTCTGATGATTAAATGAATCTCCTTCATTGTATTAACTCACTTTTTCCAGTTCAATGAACTTAAAAAAGTAAGTAACCTAGGTTGCCTTAAAATCTTAAGTTAAACCAACAATACTTTTTTACAGTGTGGTTTGCTTCAAATAAAACAGTAACTCTGTCATCTTTCTTATCTGATAGTTGTGCTGAGCATAACTCCCACAGAAACACTCGTGCCATTAAATGAATGGGGAGAGGCCTCTGTGTGGGATGAAGGCATGTTCTCCTTGAACTCATTTTATGCTTTATGCGATGTCTGTGTAATACTAAAGAGATAAACTAATTCTTTAATAGTTGGATAGGCCTTGGCAAAATTAGGTCAAACTTTATGCAAATGACCACATTACTGATATAATGTGTGAGAATAAAAGCACAGTTTTACCCCAGGAATTTATGAATGTTAGAACCAGTCTGGAAAATATAATGAGGCCTTTGTCACAGTCAGGCAGTGATTCAGGCATGATTTCATGGGCGCTGGAGCTTAGCATAACTTCATTCAGAGGCTTTTACTGGTGTGCAGTGATCTGTAATGATGCAAATGCCCTCGCCTCTCAGTTAGAGCTGCTCCCGCGAGGTGAAGGTCGTTTCAGGAAGTACAGAGCAGTTCACTCTTCAACACGAAGCCAAATTTCAGCACTTAAACTGCACAGTATATCTTAAGCATAAAAGGAAAACACTTTCTTTGATTATTGATATTAATATTTAATTCAAGTTTATGCGAATAAATGTCATTCCTAATTTAGTTTTCTCAGCTTTATCAGTCTGTCACAGTTGTAGGCAGAGTTAGTATCTCTGTGTTAGAGAAAGCAACATAGTTCTTTGTGTTTTGCTGCCTAATTTATAGGGTCATTGTTCGACCTCCAGGATGTTTTTCTTTTTCATTGTGCAGAATCCCACAGTCACTCTGCCTGGACATTAACTTATAGGTTGCTAAAAATACAAATGTCAAAACTTATTTGGCTGAGGAAGTATACAGTTCCACAGCATCCGTTTCCAATAAATGAGGAAAATGTAATGTTTGTGATGCTTCAATTCTGATATTCTAAAGTTTCAGATGAATGCAGGCGGATTTAGAATGTAAACTTAACGGTTAAAGGGTTAGTTTACTTGAAAATGAAAATTGTTTCATCATTTACTCACCCTTACACCGGACGCACAGTTGACTTTTTTTCTACAATGGAGATCAACGGCTGCTGTCTGCTTATGAAATGTCACCCTGTGTGAATTGGCCATTTAAATTCATTCATTTCATCATTTTTTCAACTTCATGTCGTTCCAAACCTGTAAAACATTCTTTTCAGTAACACACAAAAGAAGATATATTGAAGAATGTTGAACTAAAAAGTTTCGGATGGCTTTGACCATTGTATGGACAAAAAAATTAACTTTTTTTTTTTTTTTTTTTTTTTTTTTTTTAGAATAAGTCATACTAGGTTGGAACATTAGGGAGTGTGAAATGATGTCAGTGTTTTCATTTTTGTGTGAATATCCGTGGATAAGTCCATATTTACAGCTGAAATGATAACGACAGAAGAATGATATCATTGGAATCACTTTCTCAAACTCATGAATAACACAAATTCTTCTTTAAAGAGCTTGAGCATATAAGGTGACAGACGCCATAATGGCAGCTCGATAAACCTCTGGTCCTCTTCGGTCTTAAATGACCGAAAACTTCTACGTTTTGAATGATTGAAATTTTTTGGTTTATCGGAAGTGGATGATACTTGGTGACTTTTGTTGTATGAGCATATGAACACACAAAAAAGTCATGGACATGATTCGGATATGTTAAAGGTTCGTAAAAAAATAAAATAAAAATAGTCACACTTTCATCCTTCGCAGTCAAAAATGACCGGCATAGGAAATGAATGAAACTTTTGGTGGTACAGCCACTGTGCAGAAAGAAAGTGTACAGCAATGAAGGAATGACACTCTAAAATATCAACAGTGCAAATAAGACACCCCCCCCCCCCCCCACACACACACACACACACAGAGAGAGAGAGAAAATAACTGGTAAGACTGCAACAGCAAATTTTGAGAAAATGCTAAATAAAATCAATTTACTAAAAAAAAAATACAAAAGACAAAGAGATTCTCTTGCTCAAATGTGCACACTCACACACAAAATAATTATTGTTTGCTCTTTTTTAGCCTGTTCCTGATATCTGTTGTATTGTACTGTATATAGTCAAATAATATGTATTATTATTATTATTATTAATACATTTGTATTCCTCTTTTTTTAACCTACAGTTTGATAGTTTGCTGTTGTTATTTTATTGTTTTTGCTGTTAGATCATAATTGCTGTTCCCTTCTAAAGTTGTATTACCATTTACAGAATTAAACTGAATAAAATACCAATTAGTTGCAAAATATCTGTATAAAGTGTTTTTAATCATCACTATCCATCCCTTATGTTATTAGATTTTTTTAATGATCAAATACTGAGTAACAAAAATGCTTGCATTGTGTTCCCTTTCTAATCAAATGTTGTTTGATTGTAATCATAATGCAAAACCTGATTATCTAACAAAAAGTATCTAAAAATATCAAAAAGTAGTCTTAGAATGTCTAAATATATATTTAAATAAAAACAATTAATAAAATGGAGAAATTATGTCTTAAAAAAACTATGGGAATGGGTCCAGTTTTGATATTAGTAGAGCCTACAGGCGGTTACCGGACATTACACACAATTATAATGTTTAACGCCACTGGATGGCGCTTTTCTCACTTAATTTTTTTTTAAAAGCCTGTCTATGGCCTCCACTCTATTTGAATGTGAAATGTTGCATTTATGAAAAAAAAAATAAAAAATAAAATACTATATATATATATATATATATATATATATACATTGCTTTTTTTATAATTATTAAATAATAACAGAAACCTTTAAAAATTATAAATAATAATCAAAAAATATTATTGAACAAAAATATATTACATTTGTTTTCCTAAAAAAAAGTTGCATTTTAAGGCTTCGGTCACTTTAGACCGGGAAGAAGTCATGTGTGACCCATAAACAAAGAGGTAAATAAACAACATTATGTGTTGGTGGGGGATGCATAGTATTTCTCATATTATTCTTCTCATATCAGCTTGAGGTTTCTACACTGGACGCATTCATTCATTTTTCACAACACATTGTCAATTTCTTGCATGTTAAAATTCACATATTTTTTAATTGCTTGTCCTTCCATCGTGTAGAAAAGTGATGTTATTGTAACATTGCTCAGGTTGAACACACTGCCACAATAAAACACAACAACCATCTTTGTAACTCGTAAACAAGTCTTTAGCAGTGAAATTATTTTTAAAACTTTTTTGACGGCATTTTGAAAAGACTTATCATTTTCAATAGGCCTGGGTGGCCATTTGAGGTGATGCATGTCTGTTGCCTGAAATATCAATTTGCATATTTGGCACTGTTGTTTTCCCACTGGGATGCCACTTCCTGCATTATGATGCCATTAGGGTAATAATTATGGAAAACAAGGGGGGTGTGGGTTAGGACATTGTCATATGTCCTATGGGGGGGTTCCAGGACATTGTCATATAAAAGTGACTGCAGAATCACAGCGCATTGATGCTCCAGTTTTGTTTTATGTTTAATTTTGCCTATGTTGGGGAGAATTTTGTCCTCGCGATGCTATTTAGCTAACGACACGTTGCCAAACAGCCATAATTTTCTGTTAGACTCGCTCTTTTCGGCATTAGCCTAAATAAACCATTGAACTTCAAGCAATTGCAATGTGGCGTTGTTTGAAACGTTTACAATCAAACTACACCGTCTTTTGTGCCAAAACCTCCTGATTGCGCACACCTGTCTCCCAGGGAAGGGCGCCGGAAGTGGCAAGTGAGGTTTGGCCGAAGACTCCGAAGTCTATCCAGGACTGTTCTTAAATAAACGCACTTTATTTATTATGGCGAAGCCGCTTTTGAAATATGGTACGCGTTGTTCCCTGTCCAGATACTTTATGCTTGTCGCGGTTATCGGCCTGTCATTTACATCATGCTACAACTTTGAAAACGAGTCTGTTGAACCCGACGTCTCCCTTCACCATGGTAATATCCTGAGCCCTTTGCTGAAGGCGTTGTCAGAGCAGAACCCTTGGGGAGAATTCACACCGCGAGCCAAGCCTGACTCCAGATTTGTACGTTACATGAAGAGACTGTATAAACTATCCTCCAAACCCGACAAGAGTCCCGAGGCCTCTCACCTGTACAACACAGCGCGACTGATCACACCCCGAGAGGAGTGTCTCGAGCAAAACCGAGGTAATAGCCTACTTGTGGATCTCGTAGTTGAATAACATCAAAAGCGGTTGCTTTATCAACCAAGAACTTAATGTTTACGAATACATTGCCATATATCCTTTCTGAAATATTGCCTGCCCTACTGTGTGTACAGTATTTCAGATCTACAGGCTACATGATGGAATACTTTGATTAAGTTACCTAATTCATAAAATATTTTACATAGCTCCTACTGCATGCAATATCACATAAGTTTAATGATATTAAGCTACAGCATGATTGCAACTGTGCTATTGCTTTTATACTGTTCAAATAATGAGTAATTTACGTTTTATGCCAAATTTATTCAAATAAGCTAAACATAAACTAAACCAAAACAACCAACTACAACATATTATTATCTTTGGTAAACATGACTGTGTACTTCTTTCTGGTACATTTAACTACAGTATGCATCCCATAAAGCACTGCAAATGATCAACAAAAAATGAAATGATTATTGATTTATAGATATTTAATGTTTATTGCAAAATGTATACAAATATAATGGCGAAACTGATTCGACTTCTTTCTATGGTGTCAATGCCTTCTCTGATTGGTGGAGAGTCCTGTCTGAGAAAAGAGATTTTTCACCTAAAAACTAAAATGATGACGTCATTTTGATTTCTTTTATGATCTCCTCAATGTTAATTATAAGTGTCTAAATTTTGGTGGTGGAACATGCATCTTTTAGGTTTCATTAAAAATGCCATTGGTTTTTCGAAGATGAACGTAAGTCTTAAAGGGATAGGTTACCCAAAAATTCTAATATTGTCATCTATTACTCACCCTCAAGTTGTTCCAAACCTGTATGAGTTTCACATGTTGAACACAAAAAGAAGATATTCTAAAGAATGTTGGTAGCCACACATTTGACGATATACAGCTATATATGACGCTGTAGTCATTGAGTTCCATAGGAAAGAAAAAAAAACAATGGAAGTCAATGGGTGCCGTCAACTGTTTTATTACCAACATTCTTTAAAGGGGTAATGCCATTTTACGAAGTTTTGATTTTGTTTTTCGGGTGTACCAATCTCCAAATCTCCTCATTTCGAAACACGAAATGTGATTGGTTAGCTGGCCCAGTGTGTTGTGATTGGCAATGCTTAGCTCATGTTCAGGAAATTTCCCGCCGTGTACTGCTTTGCATATAGTGAACACCACACAGAATGCAGTTTACTAGTTACTAGTAGAATTCTCACACTCAAAATTGTTGTCAAGAGAAGGATGTGTTCCTCAACGGTATGTGTTATCTTGTCAGAATTCTTCATGCAGGATATTTCCTACAGTCTGAATCGAGTGAGGTCTCAGGAGCAGTTGCTGAAGTCAGTCCTGTTGTACTCCTTCGACCACAACCACGTCACCCCGTTCACGTCGCTCTGTTACCTGGATGTAAAGGAGCAGAAACCCTCGAGGGATCAGATGTGCTCTCACCATCTCAGCAGCACCCAGCAGTCGGTCCCGCTACTCAGCTTCCGCGTCCACACCGAGAGAAGAGTCCGTCGCCGCTGGGTGGAGGTCGACGTGACCTCCTTCCTCCATCCTCTCATTCAGGCCCATAAGAAGGACATCCATCTCCTGATCAACTTGACCTGCGTTGCGGATATGGTCCCCAGACCTGGAGGCCAGGTTCACAAGAGTCCGGTCGAGCTAACTCACAGGTCCCCGTCCCTTCTTTTGTACCTAAATGACACCAGTGAGGTCGCATACCAGAGAAGAGCCACGCAAGGTAGGATGGTCGATCTGACATCCAACCACTGGGATGGAAAGTCCACAGCGTGGGAGTCTGCCTCACGAAAGCGACGAGGAACCCCAAAGAGCACCAATTTGCCGGAAACCATGCCCAAACTCATCCCCATGTATGACTTTCCAACAGATGAATGTGACCTGTATGATTTCAGAGTGAGCTTCAGTCAGCTCAAACTGGACCACTGGATCATAGCGCCTCAGAAGTACAATCCGAGGTACTGTAAGGGATTTTGTCCAAGGGCCGTGGGATATATCTATGGGTCACCAGTGCACACCATGGTTCAGAACATCATTTACGAGAAGCTAGACTCCTCTGTGCCCAGACCTTCATGTGTCCCGTCAGAGTACAACCCTTTAAGTGTTTTGACCATTGAGAACGACGGCTCCATTGCCTACAAGGAGTACGAGGAGATGATTGCTACCAAATGCACTTGTCGATAAGATTAAATTGGCTGTTGAATCTTTTTTTTTTTTTTTTTTTTGTGAAACATTGCTTTGTAAAACAGTGTCTTTTTTTTTTTTTGCATTGGCCATTCTAATTATGAAGATGATGAAATGACTTGACCACATGTATCATACAATTTGTTTAGTTTAACATTACTTTTTATCTGATTCAATAATTTGAATGAATTATGCAATTGAGTTGTTTTGGTGTTTTCTTAAACACGTTTTCTTTGTAATAGTTATATATGGGGGTATTTAATTTGTTTAATAGATTATTTTTTTCTTTGATAACCAGTTATGTTGTTTTAAGTTCTTTTCCTTAGGTTCATGGTCTTGTCTTGCACTTTCTATTCCTTAATCGTGAATGGCAAAATTTTTATATTTCTAGTTCTGGACAGAATATGAAAAGTGTAGTTCTATTGTCTTATCAGAACACTTTTACATTATTTTTTTAAAACCTGGGAATTGCAGGAGGTTGTCTCATGGGCAACCTCTCTCTTCTTGATGTCCAGAAAATAAGTTGCCTTAATTGTGGGCAACTTGATATGTGTATTAAATGCTTTAAAGAAAGTAATAGATGAGAATGTGTCACGTACGTATGTATACAATTTATGTCTGTGTAATTCGGTAATAGATGAGAATGTGTCACGTACGTATTTATACAATTTATGTCTGTGTAATTCGGTAAGGCTGGCTCTGGTTTCACAAAAAAAAAAAAAATAATAAAAAAAAAAAGGAGGGAAAAAATCCCATGTAAAATAAATGAAAAAATTCAGCAAACAAACTTGAATCTTTTTTCTTCCTTAAATCAAATCTCGGATTGTCACTGAAAGTAGTTTGGAGGAAAGTTTATTTTTTATATATATATTTGACCGAACTAACAGTCTCTCTTAACAAATGTGATTTTTTTTTCTGTTTTCAAAATTCTAAATGACGATTGAAGCTTTGGAGTTACAGTGTGGGGAAATAAATGGTAAAAGTTGTTAAAACATGTAAATATAAAGCGTGACTATAAATAAAGCGTGACAATATGTTAAAAACATGTAAATATAAAGACAGGTAAAGGGGCTTTTACTCATCACTTGAGATATAAGTGTGGTGTAGATACCTAGAAAAGTATGTAAATAGGCTACTTATATAGCTATAGCATTATTTTTCTGATCATTTAATCATAGAAAATATACGACGTACCCTGTACTTTGTTTAGGTGGCATACGGTAATTTACGTTTTGTTAAATTGTTGATCCAGGCTTTTATTTTGAAGTACATCGCTTCCGGAAGTTGTTCAGTTAAGAGTCTTTTAGTTAAGGAAGCAAGTTTTTTAGGTAAGGAAGTAAGTTTTTCGTTTCGTAGGCATTAAACTGGATATTTCTGTGAACTGTGTTTACTGCTTTTAAACGCTTGTAAGGCTAATCCAACTGTTTTTATCTTTGAGATAGTAACGTAACGTTACAGGAAAGCGGTGGAACAGACAGACTTCGACACGAGGCATCAGCTGATTCACAGCTCTGTCTCAAAACAAACAGGCTATCTGGATGTACACTGCTCAAAAAACATGCCCAGGTTGGCAACTCACTAAGAAGACACCAATGCTGAAAGTCCATTTAGGAGCAGTCTGAAAGGTTTTGCCATGGATCCAGAGGTGTCCCTCATGCTGCACTGTGATCCATTACAGGCTATCGGAGAACATCAAACACGCATAGAAATTTCAGACAGGTAACGTTACAGGATACACACACACACACACACACACTGTAGTGCCGTGTAGTGGTGTTCTGAATGAGGAGGAAGCAAAGTCATTTTAAATGTTAAAGTGTTACACTTAAGGTTGTCATATTTACCAGGTTATTTAAACATTGTCACATTTAAAAAAATAAACAAAACAACATTCTATATTGTAGTTTTACTATCAATAAATTAACTGATAAAATGTCCGTTGACTGATAAATGTCAATTTTTAAAGATCAATGAATGAGTTAAAAACACAATTTATACATTTTATCCTAAATCGTTTTTACTCCCATATTAGATTTAATCGGCAGAGTTTTCCTGAGATCGAGCAGCACATTGAAGCCGTGTGGAGTGACAGAGTGACCCAGGAACCGTGGCTCTTCAACGGGGCTAAATTCAGATTACATTCAGCGATGCTCTCCGTCATGGAAAACGGACCAATGGGAGAACAGGCTGTCCCAAACAAAGGAGACCAGTTAGAAAGTGGCAATACATCTTCGGACAGTTTAGCAAAAGATGAGCAGTCATGTGTCCTAAATTTACAGCTTGGCCTGACCTGTTACAAAGACTATCTTGGGACTAACTGGTCGCGCGAGGCGGCGAACCTGCAGAGTCACGGACGGAATGAACGCGCAGATTCGCAGGCCTTCCTCGCGCAGCCGCTCGGCGTGGGCGCTGTCATGGCAACCGCTGATGGAGACGTGGTCCTGCTGAGGAGGAGTCAGAAAGTGGCAGAGGCTGCAGGACTGTTAGACATACCTGGAGGTCACCCTGAACCAAAGGTCAGACACATCATCAGGGCTTTCGTACATTATATCATCAGCTGTCTTGGAAATAAATGATCATGTTTTTTGTTTCTTTTAGTTTTTTGGCCAGGCAGTGTATATTACAATAGAGAAGAGTGTATTCTTTGAGTGCATTTATTTGATCAGAAATGCAGTAAAACGTTGAAAAGTCTTGTTCAACATATGAGACTTTTTCAAATAAATAATGGCTAAAAGTGACAGTAGCACCTCATTGCAGTACACGAGATCCAGGGGGCGGAGTCAGATCCTGATCTGAGGGGTGGAGTTGGGCAGGTTTAGGGGAGGGGTTAGGGATCAGGGGGTGGAGCTGGGTAGGTTTAGGTTGGCTATATGTATGGTGGGAGGAGTTGGATCTGGATCCGACTCCTCCCCATCGATTTCATGTTCTGCAGTGAGGACCATCTCAAAAGTGATGTCAGGCCTTGGAAAAGTTACAACTTCAAAAATGTTTATATATTTTGTAAGAATATGTTGTGCAAGTGAGTTCAGTGTTATATTTGTGATAACGCTATGAAACATGCCAAATTGTGAGAAATTATTAATTTTTTGGCTGGCTGGCTGGCTGTCACACAAAAGAAATGATAAACGCACGCAAAAACTAGAGAGAACCACTTAAATATTAATAGCGGATTATTTTGTAGTCAGTGTAGGTTTTTCCCGATGAGCTTTTGTTTTTCTCTGCTTTTTAGCATAGTAAAATATAACCTGTAGCTGTAGTTTGTCTTTTTCCCTACAAATTATTTTCATATAAATACCTTAACCAAAGTTAGTATATATATATATGTATATGTGTATATGTATATATATATATATATATATATATATATATATATATACATGTATGTGTGTGTATATATATATGTATATATACATGTATGTGTGTGTATATATATATATATGTGTGTATATATGTATGTGTGTGTATATATATATATATGTGCGCATATATATATGTATATATGTATATATATATATATATATGTATATGTGTGTGTGTATATATATATATATATATATATATATATATATATATAATGTATATATGTATATGTATCCTCATATTTTTATGGTTTAATCAAACTTGTAGGGTCATTAAAAACAACATGAGATCACTTTTGGCCCCTACAGTGTATATATATTATTAAGAATATCTTAAATCTGTCGGTGTGCTTGCAGATGGTGTGTCCGGAGGTCAGTGAGGAGGCCATATGTGTCGAGTTTCTGCAGGGTAAGGAGAGAGCCGTTGTTTCTGAGATCTTCTCCTCTGTGTGTGCAGAGATCAGTGATGAGGTGTGTATCTGCGGACTTCACATCGGATGCACACTTCTTTAAACGCATATTGGGAAATCGTGGCCGTTGATGCCACTACGCTGGTCTGATCATCTTTCTTTGCTGTTGTTGTTCTTACTCATTACAGGTGAATGTTCCTGTCAGTTCTCTAAGCAAACCGTTGTTCATGGGAATCGCGCTGAACCACACCAGTGCAGGCCGACCCAGTGCAGAGTTTTACGTTAGGTAAAGATCATTTTAATCTGTATTCTGTACATGATGAGCTGTTATCTTACAGAACTACATAGCTGTCTTTTTTTTTTACTCTGTGAAGGTGCACTCTGACGACGGAGGAGGTGAGAGACTTCTATAGACGTGGAGGTCCTGAGGCCCATGAGTCCACTGACATACTGTTTCTGAGTCGAGCGGTAAGCATTTAAATAAATGCAGACAAATCCACATCAAGATGGTGGCTGATGTCATCCCAATTTGCCTACTTATACTACGCCTTAAAAGTATGTACTCTTTATGTGAAGAAAAAGTACACACTTTTGAGTGTGTAGCAAAAGAGTAGGCAAGCTTTGGGACATATTATCTCATCATCTTTAAAGGAGTAGTTCACTTTAAAAAAAACTTTTGCTGATAATTTACTCCCCCCCCATGTCATCCAAGATGTCCATGTCTTTCTTTCTTCAGTCGAAAAGAAATTAAGGTTTTTGATGAAAACATTCCAGCATTTTCTCCATATAATGGACTTCATTGGGAACCAAATGGTTCAAGGTCCAAAAGACAGTTTCAGTGCAAATTGCAAACTGTTTAAAGGGCTTTAAACGATTCCAGACGATAAATAAGGGTCTTATTAAGTGAAACGATCGCTCATTAAAAAAAAAATAACCAAGTTTATTAAGTTTTATAAGCTCAAATGGTCACCTTGCTCTGTTCTGTGACGCACGTTCGTGACTCTCCTGTTCGAACTCGTTTATCAAATTGAACAAATCTTTTTTCGTGTCAATTTGGTTCATTTAATCAACAAGTTGATTCGGGAAAAGATTCATTCATTTTGATAAACGAGTTCGAACAGGAGAGTCACGAACGTCCAGAACAGAGCAAGACGACCATTTGAGCTTATAAAACTTAAACTTTGTTATTTTATTTTATTTTTTTAAATGAGTGATCGTTTCACTTGATAAGACCCTTATTCATCGACTGGAATTGTTTAAATCCCTTTAAACAGTTTGCACTGAAACTGTCTTTTGGACCTTGAACCGTTTTGGTTCCCATTCAAGTCCATTATATGGAGAAAATCCTGGAATCTATTCATCAAAAACCTTCTCTAGCACCTCCATATCTGTAGTTTATTTATTAGTTTATTTTTTATGTATTTTTTTATGTAACACTTTTCACTCGTGTTTCACTCAATGCAGTGATGGGTTGTGGGTAATATTAGCAGTTCGTATCGATCTGCACGGAAATAGTAGTATCTTTGTAGTATCACTCATTTCAACATACTACGATTTGGGATCACCTACTGTATAGTAGGGAAGTATGTGATTTCAGATGCAGACAATTTTACCTATACCCTTTTTTTCATATTCACATCTCATTACATATGCACAATGTCTACAAGACAGTCATTAATAACAGCATGAGACATTCTGTGTATAAATATGAAATTTTACAATTGTATATTTTCCCTATTCTACAGAAAATGCTCCAATTAAACGAGCGCTCCCCCATGTGGTCAGAGATGTGTCCTTCAGCTAAAGGTGCAGTGCTGCTGTATCAGAGGGTGATGCCGGATTAATGATCTCATCAGATGGACAAACAGCAGGCGCTTCATACATCACTTAAACTTTAAAAGGTATATCAGGGATAACGTTGAGTTGTTGCATACAGTAATGTATTGTATAAGAGACTTGTTTGGGAAATTGCAAAAACATACCATACAAATACATTTTGTATGCTGGTGGATGATAAAGGTGTAGTCATTTTCATGATATTTATACATAAAGTTCTTGTACTGAACACATTTAAAGTATATTTTGCAGAGTTACCTATGAAATGTATTCTTTGTATTGAATACGCAACTTTTCATATTAAATTAATAAGATTATAAAAACAGATGACTAAGACCTTTTAACTTGGAGCAAGTTTGTTATAACCGTTTGGGATTCATGGTGAAAGTCTTTTCAAAGAAGCTCAAGGAACAGAAATTGCACGCATGTATTTATTAAAACACTGGCAAGGCAAAAACAAATTATTACAATCTCGTCCTACTATAAATGTTATATGTATGAACCTGACGAGAACAGTTTTCACAATAAATATATTCCCGTAACAGTTTTACAGAGAATATTCCCTTACAAGCCACAATGAGCTAATTGTGACAATGGGAAGGAGAAGCTCTGTAGATTTACACACATTTACAAAATGTTTTTGAATGGATGTTCAGTGCAAATAAGTAAAAATGGATGTCAAGAAATAAATGTATTTTCTTTTAACAATACAGTTACCGTTAAGATCAATGACAAAAAAATTAAACATGATTCATCTCATGATGTTTTTTCAGTCATTAGAAAATCGATTAAAAACAATATAAAAGTTGGACCCCCTGAAAATAAATGTTGTAAATTAAAATCCCTTGTAGGCCACATTTGAGCAGCTTGGACTTTACGATCACGTTCGACAGAAGTCACGCAGGTTTCTAAAGACATGACTGAAGACAGGGTTTTTCATTTTTTGATTAGCCACCCTTTAAAAACCCAAATGCATTCCTGTACACAAGCTAGCGCCTCATTAAGCAATGACCTTTCTTAATGAAATTACAGTCAGACAGAGCCACTTACTGTTGTAAAGGTGAAGCACTGCTAATCAAAAAAGATGCTGATTTGGAGTGTTTTTCCTGCTACACAAAAGTTTGGGATTTATCAGAAATTACTTGAACATCCATAATAAATGCTACCATAACTCTGGTTTTGCTCAGTAAAGCTCCACTGCAAGAAAAACAAAGATGTATTATTAAGTATATGCACAATTTTAATGTTATTTAAAAAAAAAAAAAAAAAAAAGTTAGTCAAACCTGGTTGTTTTCTTACCTGCCCAGTGTACGGCCTGTAATACTTCCTGTATCTCTGAGGGTCACTGCTACATCCGAAGGCAGATAGACGGCGACTCTAATAGAATAATCCACATCAGTCATCATAAACGTTTGCAGATGTTGTTTTGAATATCTAACAGTGCATCATACTTACATGTGCTATCTGAGATGCACAGTGACAGCCGAATGGACCTCCCCTCCAGCCTTGGGAAATAAAAAAAAAAAATAACAATCGCACACATTTAGAGCTGCGCAATCATTTAAAATAGAGATCACGATTCTCCCATGATTCTGAACTGAAAAATATAAAAAAATGTAAAAAATTATATTTAAAAAATAAAATAAAAAGGTTTGAACAATTTAATGATTCACCCATATAGACTTCACTTTTTTCATTACAGGATGAATCGCGTGAACAAATCCTCTTGAATGAACGATTCAATGACAAATAGATTTTTTTTTTTTAAAGTCACTTGTCGCCACCTACTGGTGAAACAATGTAATTGATGCAATTTTTATTTAATGCATTATTGATAATCTAGATTTTGATGGACATTGCCATTTTACGTCAACAATCTTCATAACAGTGTTTTAATTCAAATATTTCTATTATCACCATGAAGGACACACTCAAAGAAAAATCATCTCTTAGCATCTCTTCTTACCACAATGATGTACGAGGCGTTTTTGACTTCCTTGTCTGTGTTTCCTGCGTTTGGGAGGTGTGGGTAAGAGGCGGCGTGCTTCCTCTTTATAATGTGTTAAAAGCTTCAGGGCCTCGTCAGGACCGAGCTCCACAAACGTCACCTCATCCAGATGCTCTCCCTGCTCTGGCAATGTGAAGCTCACTGGAAGAGATGAAAACATATTTTCATAAGTGTGCCGAAAGTCCAAGACCAAGCTGTAACACGGAAATGTGTCTTGATGCCTGTCATCAAGTAACCCAAGTTAAAGTCTGACCTTTGGCTTTGTGAAGAGACATTTCCTGAACTGCCATGCCCTCGTCCTGTTGGCGCTGTATGAGACGTCTCCTCCACACCTCGTCAGGTGGAAAAACCACCACCGCTCTTCGCTGGTAACCACGGAAACAGAGCATTTTGTGGCGCTGGGCAGATGGATAAATGTTGGCCTAGGAAATTAAAGTGGAAAAGAGAGAATGCATGAATGAGAGGACAAGCAGAAGCTTTGGCCCATCGTACAACACACATATTCCTGATTACCTGATCAAGGATGTAGTTCCTTCGCTTGGTGGCAGCTATTTTGATCAGCTGACTGACACACTGAGTGGTCTGTTGCAGCATCAGGTCTTTGTGATTGGCTCCAGGAGGCTCCTATAGGAAAGGAGAATGTGAATGGAAATATACTGATGAACACTAGAGGAAATGCTATGTTAAGAATTACGTTATTTTAACGTTTTACGTCAGTACGATCATTACTATTAACTAAAACTATAAAAAAAATTGTTTAACTGAAATAAAATAACATAAATATTACATAAAAATGTAACACTTTAGATATATAGTTGCAAGCAGCGATGATGGGCCTGAGCCCTGGCGCCAGCCGTGCCACCACTGCAGGCAATATGCATTTTAACTGGGTAAGGCCGTGTGTCCACCAAAGCGTTTTTAGCCAACTGAAAACGCTAGACGCTCTGCTGAAGACGCCGTGCTTTGGGCGCTTGAGAGCGTTTTGGCAGCACAGCGTTTTTTCCGTTGAGACGTTTCGTTGCTATGATACAGAATATCCGCAGCAGTTGAATGTTGTGACAGTTGGTCGGTGTGGTATTAGTCCCGCCCCTCCTCCACTGTGATTGGACGGCTGGGTAAAAAGTGACAGTGATGAGCGCTGCGTTTTATCCAAAGTTGAACATTTTTCAGCTCCCAGCGACCAGTAAAAAACGCTCGGCGCTTCAGCGCAAAAAAAAAAAAAAAAAAAAACGCTCAGCGCCTCGGTACGCTCATGGCATTTAAAGGGATACTCCACTTTTTTTGGAAATAGGCTCATTTTACAACTCCCCCAGAGTTAAACTGTTGAGTTTTACCTTTTTTTGAATCCATTCAGCCGATCTCCAGTTCTGGCGGTACCACTTTTAGCATAGCTTAGCATACATCATTGAAGTGCACTAGACCATTAGCATTTCTCCCAAAAAAATTACCAAAGTGTTTCGATTTTTTTTCCTATTTAAAACTTGACTCTTCTATAGTTACATCGTGCACTAAGACAGACGGAAAATGTAAAGTTGTGATTTTCTAGGCTGATCTGACTAGGAACTATACTCTCATTCCTGCATAATAATCAGGAAACTTCACTGTCGTACCATGAGTGCAGCAGGCGTAATGTTATGACGCAGCGCCTGAAAATAGTGCCCAGCTCGGTAACTTCCAACGTGACCGGGACTAAGTTTGTGTATTCATTACGTCTGCTGCACTCATGGTACGAGGTACAATTTGGTAATTTTTTTGGGAGAAATGCTAATGGTCTTGTGCACTTCAATGATGTATGCTAAGCTATGCTAAAAGTGCTACTGCCAGAACCGGAGATCGGCTGAATGGATTCAAAAAAGGTAAAACTCAACAGTTTAACTCTGGGGGAGTTGTAAAATGAGCGTATTTCCAAAAAAAAGTGGAGTTTCTTTAGAAAACGCGGCGCTCCCATTGAAAACAAACACCAGGCGCGTGGAAAAACGCTTTGGTGGACACATGGCCTAACTGTAAAAGAACTACATCAAGATCGTTTGAATAGGCCACATTTACTGAAGTAGCTGGTGCGGAAACACAAATTAACATATTTTAACATACTTTTTAAATGAAATCTGAGTGAATTCTGTTCCTTCATTGACAGCCTATGATACGACGTCACCGTCATTAAAGTAAAACATGTGACTCCATTGGTTGAATCACAGTTGTATGAAATGATGCAAGTGATTTGATTGCTCGAATTTTTTTTTTTCACCACTTTACAAAATATTAATCTCTAATGCACGTTAACTAGAGCACCACGACACATGCGTGTTGAGTTGAACGCAGACTTTGCCTGGCCCTGATGGACGACGATTCCAACGTGTGTGTAAAAAAAAAAATTTTTTTGATTTATTCAATTAACTTCTACTGACAATATTTCTTCAAAATTTCAAATACAAATATTGTCATGTAGAATATTCTCATTTATTTGCAGAAAAGGACAACTGGAAAAAAATCTAAATGTTTTCAGACCTTGAATAATGTAAAGAAAATTTAAATTTAATGTAAAGAAAAAAGAAGGTATATGCATTTTAAACAACACGACACTAATGTTTTAATAACTATAGTAATGCATACATATACAATAATAATAGTAAATGTACAAAAATAACTAGTCTGGAATTCATTTTAATGATAAAGGCCCATTATGCCATCAATATTCTTCATGAAAATTCTGTGCTATAAACATTTTATTTTGCAAGCTACATACGTTTTTTAAATTTATTTATGAAGAGGTGTTTTAATCTCTTTTCCATCACACTGTGATGAAAAGGGTCCAAACCAATAAGATTTGCACTTTTGGAAACATGCTCAGAGCCGCTGCGGTTACATAAAACTACAACTTTGTGGTGTGTCCGAACAAAACTGTTGTTCTAGATGAAAGTGGTCACACAGAAGAAAAATCCCGCATTGGAGATGAAATTTGCTGCTGTGTTTGGCGTCTAAGTACAAACAGCCTTTTGATGAATGACAACGGCATTAGCATTTTATTCGGCACATTCAGAATGATCTGAACAGACAAATTGAACCAATATCTGTGAAGAACAGCAGTCTTGGTGTGAGCAAGTCTTATTTCTGACACGCACCAAAACACTGTATGTCACTTACCCTCATGCAGTTCAAAATGGAGTTTGTACTCAGAAGATTGTAACGTTTCCTTGCGTTCTGGAGCATATGAGCCTGAGCCCAGTGGGTCTTACCAGAACCTGGCATACCAACCATCATCAGCACCTGACAGATAGAGAAAGGGGGTCAACGTGACAGAATCTGACCTCATAATAACATGTTTATTTAGTTTATTTTTGTAAGGGGTTTAACACACTTTTACAAACTTTCCTACCTCACAATCACTTTTAGATGCTGTCGGCAAAGACTCACGAGTCCTTTGACCGGGAGGAAGTATGACTAGTGTGCAGAAACCAGCAGGAAAAGGATGCCAGGGAGTATCTGGATCAAGATTCACCGAAACCAAACAGTTTTTGCAAAGCACGTGGGGATAGAGAGCTTTTCCTCTAAGAGCAGAAGACGTCAGGCGAAACGCCACTCCAAGAGAACGCCCATTTTTGTGAAATGAAAGTGTCGCTTCTCCAGTCTCACTGATGAACTAGATAAGGGATGGATACAAATCGATAATAAAACAGAACTTAATTAACCCAAGAGCAATGTGATGTTGATAAGCTAAGCTAGGCTGCATTCGTCACAGCGACTTCGAATGCGTCCTGGGCCGTGAACGAGTGGATCCTTCACAGCCTAGCCTACCCCAAGATTCATTGCACTCAAATGCCAGATTATTTTAAATGCAAGTATTATTTCAACTTCAAATATCTAATTACACAAATGTAAAAAACAAACACACAAAAAAACACATTAAAGCAATTCAAATGTTGACTGATATCTTACTAAGATGTGGTGAACATTTAGACCGGTTTTGAACTACAAACGTTACTGTCATTCATCAACAGTAGAAGTCACCGTTTCTAGATGACAAGAACAATCCTCCGTAGACTAGACCGTCCCATTTAACA